TGATCTAAAAACACTTAATCTTATGCCAAAAGCCTCGTATTTTAGGGACTATGTAGTGTTATAATTGCAATGGGCCTCGTCTGGGGCTATGCCTTCATGCCTCCAAAGGAGATGCCGCAAGTGAATGTCGCCGAAAGGGATGTATTGCTTCGCCCTATGGAATTTCCCATTGCTCCTTCCTAGAGAACATGAGATAAGATGTTTCTAGGATTGAGGGAAAGTCACGATCATTACTGACCCATGTCTCCCTTGAAAATAGGCGTTCAATAGTCCACTATTGACTAGGTGGGCAACAAGGCTTTCCAAGGAAATCATAGGCCCATAAGGCCTTTATAAATATGTCTCCCTTCAAGGAGAGGGAAGAGAGACTCTAAGTTATAAACATTCTCTATAACTTAAAGAGCATCATGCTCATTACATTCTTAACTCATACAACAGACTTAACCGCCCACCATTAACAGAGTCGCTCACCTCACGTGACCTGATCCACCAGACTACCTCTAAATACCACCAACATGACCTCTCTCTATTATGAGCAAGTCTTCACTAGAAAAACATGTTATAAACATACTAAGACATCTAAGTATCCCTTAACTTGCAATGGGAATATGCAGACTTGTACTTTTTGACCATTGCATAGATGATGATCGATAGCGAATAACTTATAGTAGATAAGTGATAACTTATAGTTGATAACAAGTAGCTGATAAGTTAATTAAACTGTTTGATAAATTAACAGTTTCTATAGTTGATAAATGTATATTAAGCATAAAACTGAAGAAAAAAAAAGATGACAAGCTAAAAAAAATTGAAATATTAAGCATAAAACTGGAAAAAAAAAAAAAAAAAAAAAAAGATGACAAGCTAAAAGCTATAACTTAAAAGCTATTTCAAATAACTTTAAAAAAAAAGTCATAAACTAGTAAAAATAATTTCAATATACCTTTTAGTCTCAATAACTTAACCTCAGAGCTCATTTTAGTCTCTAACTTAAAAATATTTTTATTGGTCATTTAACTCTTCAAAACGTATAATACTAGCAATTTTCTTCTAATTAAAAATGAATTTAGCGACCGACTATTGAATTTTTCGTTGCTAATAAAACGAATAGTAGGGATAGCAATGGTCAGGGTTTGAACAAGATACTATAGTACCCGTCTCCAAACCCTCAGTTAAAAAAAATTCTCGTACTTGAGCCACTACCTGCGTGTGCATCAACGCTTTTACCTGTATCTTATGGGTACTTAAGTACCCGTACTCATACTCGTTTATCTACATTTCTGATAAAAAGTGATTGATAAGTTATGATTTATCATGTAATTTTGAACATTTAAAAAAATTGAGGATGTTATTATTGAGTTAAGAAATAAACAAACATTTATGTTAGAATGTGTAGAAGTTTAATAGTGATCTATTTAATAAAATTGTTAGATTAACCTATGTACATAATAATGAAAATAAAAATATATAAATATATATCGTGTGGGTATGGGGCACGTGTTAGATGTCAAACTTTGCTTATTTTCTCTATCAAATGTTGGCATCTTTCATTCTTTTTGTAAGGGAAAGTGATTAGAATCACTCATGTTTTAGATGATACGCTTCATTGTTGGAAAATGCCTTGGTTGCTTTGATTTATGTGTTATTGTGTAGGAATTAGGGAGGAGGTAAGATCTTTGATCTCTTGTTGGGGTTTGGATGTAATTATTTGATACCTTATGTATTTCATCTAATATATGTTTGTGAATTAGTTTTGATTCTCTATTGATTGATTATCTTTGATTGCTTGTTTGTGGGTCTTGACAAAACCTTTTCACATATTTGATATAAGATTTTCATTTATCAATGAAAAAACTTTTGACATGGTTTTGTAAGTTGATATTCATTATATCTTCTATTATATTGTGTTGATTAAGTAGCATGGGTAGCATGAGTAGGATCAATACGATATTGTGTGGGTACGTGATAATAATGATGAAGAACAATGTTCACCTACATTTGGCATATTAGATGAATACATTTAAAAAGGGTTAACCGTATGTACGTATTCTGGTCATTGTGTTTTATATGAAACAATCGTTTATCCAATATAGGTTTCATCTTTGTTTACTTGTTTATCTTTGATTTGAACCGCTATAGACATGTACTCTTCAGATCTGAATTTAGGATGATTACTTGTTAGGTCCTAAACTCTAGACATAGATTTAAGCTTGGAATTTGCGTGAGTATCGGTTCTTAATGCTCTGTGTTGTGTTTTTGTTGCGTGAGACATCACCAATGAGACAACATGGTTGTTCTCTCGACGTTGCGTTAGAGATGACCTCTGTCGTGGGTGATACGTGAGGATATTAGACGAATGATTGAGTTGTGTTTAAAATGATCAGAAGAATGCATGTGTTATCAATTAATGAGATCCAATCCCAACAAGACTCCGTTTATATTTCAGTTTTTACTTTATATTTTTCGTCTTTATATTTTCTGCCTTTTATTCCTGGTTCCTTGAACCTTTTAAAACAAACCTTTTGATCAACAAGCTTAGAAATGTGGAGACTGTTGAAGGACGTTCTTTCATCGCACAGATCCCTGTTCTGGGTAAAATTTGTGGGTATCTACCGAGAATGAGTACAATTGTCATTCCTAACGAAAAGGAATAACATAATATGTTTTGAAGAATAAAGAAATCAATATAAATATTTTTTAAATTAAAGGACAAAAATGAACCCTGAAACTAAGATATGGAAAAAAATGATATTAAATCAAACAAATTTTTTTATTGATATGAACTAAAAAGGTAAAAAGTAAAAGCTAATTTTGTAATTTTACTTAAAAGAGACTTTATATCTAGAAAGATAAGTCCTCATATATAATTACGGGTGAAAATATGGATGCATTTGGTTCAACTATTTTTAAGTTTGAAAGTAATTTTAAAGTTCAAATTAAAAATAATACTAGGTTTTAGTTTTTTTTTGTATTAAATATATTTTTAATCCTTTTATATATATATATATATATATATATATATATATATATATATATATATATATATATATATATATATATATATATATATATATATATATATATATATATATATATATATATATATATATATATATATATATATATATATATATATATATATATATATATATATATATATATATATATATATATATATATATATATATATATATATATATATATATATATATATATACCATAATTCAATTTTAATCCTTCAAAAAATTTCATTCGAATAATGATTATTCAACAACACTTTTGGTCCATTCCATTAACTTCTCTTAAAAGAAGTTAAAGTGGCATGCTACGTAAAAAATTTTGGTGATTGGGCATACAAGTGGCAATGACCAGATGACAAATGTGCTGATATGGAATATCACATGGAAATTTTTAGTATTTTATATTTTGGGTTAAAATATTTGTAGTTCTCTTAAATATCTCAAATTTTGTTTAGTCTCTCAAAATACTTTATTTAAAGAATGACCCTCCTAAAATTTTTAATCACACTTTTAATCCCTCTTGCGACTTAGCGACGGTTTTTACAACTTAATAATAAAATTGGTGACAATTTAACGACAATTTTAACTATATTTTATTACTTAGTGATTAAAAATGCAATTTGAAATATTTAGAAGAACAACAAATATATTTAACCCTTATATTTTAATAGTAATTAAGTATATAAGGACGGTAAATCAGTTGCTAAATACATAGTTTACATGAACATCATATTTAAACTCTTAAATCTTTAACTTCTTTTCTTTATGAGATGCTTGTAATTACCTAGACTTTGAACTTTTTAATTCAAGTTTATAACTTTATAAAAATCTCTTTCATAAAAATTAGAGTTTTTTAAAATATGAAATTTTTTAACTCCAATTTTTCATGAAATAGATACAATGAAAATTTTGGTTTATGATTGAATTTTTAACAAATATATTCGCATGAATTTTCCTCATAATACATAAAAAGAATCTAAGAAATTTGTGGCATATAAGTGTATGATTTTTAAGAGGAAATAAATAAAGAAAATTAAAGTATTTCAAAAATACTACGGAAATTTGCATTTTTTTCTCTATTTTTTTGTCATAAAAATTCGTAAAAAAAATAGATAAAAATGTGATGATATGCCTATTTTTTACTGTTTATGTCTTTTGAACACTTGACACTCAAAAAATCTCAATAGATTGGGGCATATGCGCAATGCTAGAAAACTTTGTAATTATTCTTTATTTGTTGTCATAGAAATCCCTAAAAAAAAATTTAGATCAAAATGAAATGTGTAGACACGTGTTTATGTTATTTCTGCCTTGTGAAACAAACTCATTAATATGTGTTTTGTTAGAAAAATCAAAATAAATCGAGGCTTCTAAAAAATGCCACGAAACTTTACATATCATTTCTATGTGTTATCTGGCAAATCCTTGCAAAATATTTGCTGAAAAATCAATCATAGGCTAAGTTTTAATTGTTTCTGTTTTATGGAAATCAAACGTTCAAAAATTCGTATTTAAATTTAGATCGTTACAAACATCTTTTTAGGATGAATAAATTTAAAGTTTTAATATATTGAGTTTGTTATTAATTAATTACGGATTAACTAAGTTTAAGTATACCTTTCATTTTAGCTGCGAATTTAGTATCATATTTATCATTACTATATATTTAACTAAAATTTATAATATAAATGCAAAATTGCCACGAGTGCCGTTTAGAGAGCTCTTTATGAAACTAGCTGTACTAAATTTTAATTATTGGAATCAATGATTAAATTAGTCTCGAATTGATTCGCATATGAATGCAGCACTATGTTTCTCAGAAAATTATGAATGGTTGATTACAGAAATATAAAGATAGTACAACGATACTTCAAGTTTTAAATGTAAAAGAAAAAGCATTAAGAACATGAAAAGATTAGTGATGATGACAGTCATAAATATGATTGTATTGTTTTATTAGTATTGATTTGATATAGTGATCTACAAACTGAAATTGCGTGTAGTTATCACTATAGGGCTTCTCACCACATGCTTCCCATCCTCCCAAGTGAGGTACCCAAAAACTACTTCATCATTTTGTGTATTTATTGAGCCTTCAATCTTCAATTTGAAGCTTATCTTCTCATTCTTCTTATTGAATACCAACTTATTTGGGATAACACTTATGTTGAACCCTTTAATTGGTGTAATTTTAGCAACATAAGTTGTTTGTCCTTCACCAACATTGGTAACTGTTCTGTAAAACTGTTGTATTATCCTTGAAGAAGAATTTTTACTATTGCTAAAAGCAATAAAAGAAGGATAATTGAGATCCAATGAAGGTTTAGAACAATTATTAGAAGTGGATCTTGTAATGACGGCGATGTTTTGTTGCGTGTAGTTAAGTGCACAAAGAAGATTAACATAATCTTGTACACCAACATCATAAACAAGACCAGGATCAATTGCTCTATTAGGATCAACATGACCGGCACCCAACGCTAATGGAGTTGAAACTTTATTATTTCCAATGTCTTTGATGTGTTCTTTAGTATTATCCAAAATGTATGAGGTTGTCATAATTGCAGACCGAATAGCCGCGGGACTCCAATCATTATGTGCTCCTTTTAAAAGTGATCCTCGAAATTAGTCACAGGGAGATTTGTAGGCCATGACGCTAAGATTTGACTACCGGGAGCAGTGATGTCAGGTTTCAACACATATGGGCGATGGTTTAACACCAAGACCTGTTGTCTTGAAAGAGATGCTTGCTGTAGAACTAGAGTTTTTGGAGTTATGGCTCTTTATGTAAGATTGTACGATTTTTCCATTTATTGGAGTAATAATGATAGATGGAATTCTATTGTTAAAATCATTTATGTCTGGAATATTTGATATGAAAACACCTGCAACAACGTCTGCTGCAATCATATTATTAATTTGAATAGAAAGGAGAGTTCCATTCTTCTCTTCACAAACTACAATATTGTTCTTCACTTTGTTTAATTCTGTAATATTGTCACACGAACCCATGAAAACAATGGGAGAATTGGTAGCAGTAAAATTTCCCAGATACAAAGACAAACCAGTGAGCGAGACTCCGTTACCAAGTGTGAGAATTCCACGAAATTCACGATCCAACGTACCGGCAGCAACCGATGTCACCCAAGGTACACTATTCGAAAGAGTGTGAAATAAAGGTCCTTCATTACCTGCGGATACAGAAACAAAAATACCTTTTTCAATGGCTGCAAATGTAGCTATTGCAAGAGTATCTTCGTAAAAAGGCACTTCTTGGGCGCCCATTGATATTGAAAGAACATCGACACCGTCGGACATAGCAGCATCAATTGCTGCCATTATATCAGATGGTGTCGCTAATCCATCTCCCCCTATAGTTTTGTACATGGCTACTCTAGACATTGAAGCTATTCCTGTTGCGGTTCCATTCGCATAACCAAAGAAAGATGCGCCATCAACTTTTCTTCCGGCTGCCGTTGTTGAAGTATGGGTCCCATGACCTGTTGTGTCACGTGCGTCATTCAAGTTGGTTGTACTAAGGTTGGAATATTTTGCTAAGAACCCTTTGTTGAAGAATCTAGCTCCAATGAGTTTCTTGTTGCACAAAGATGAATGGTCGGAATTATTAAATTGACATAATTTCCCTTTCCATTTAGAGGGTATTTCAGTCATTCCATCATCTTTGAAACTTTCACTTTCTGGCCAAACACCAGTGTCAATTACACCAACAATGACATCTTTACCAAACTCAGAAGCTGGCCATGCTCCTTTGTCAGGATTAAGGCCAAGGAATTGAGGTGAGTGTGTTGTGTGAAGTTTCAAGGGTATATCAGGCATTGAAGAAATGTAACCAGGTGAGTTTTGGAGAGATTCATGATCTTGAGGTGAAAGATTAGCACTAAAACCATTCATAACATTAGTGTATGTATAAAGGATTTTAGAAGAAGAAGAATTGAGATAATTGTTGGTAGTAGTAACTTGAGAAAGAATGGAATGATACCAACTATGTTGATTTGAGAATGTTTTAGGCATAGCTGATAAATCCATGTGAATGATGTAATTATCAGATTGAGCAAATGTGAAAATAATAAAATGAAGGAATGTTGTAAGAAAGGAGAACAACAAAAGGAGAGAAATATTGGAAGCCATTATTGAAATGTGTTTGAATGCCGGCTATCAAATCAAAACAATATGCGTTCATATATGAATACAAATTATAAAATTAATAGATAATAATTAATATTTTATTCTTAAAGTTGTAAAATAATATTATCTAGAATAAAGTTTCCATAATAAAAGTAAATATATTTCAGTCATTCCCTTTCCTTATATATAGTTCATATTAAAAGTAAATATAGATCAGTCAAAAGGTATAATATTTTTTTTTTTTATTCTCAATAATTAATTTGTGTTTATAGTTAAAAGTACGTTTCGTGTGAAAAATATCCTCCATTATATATAGAAAAAATTTTGAAAAAAATTTCAATATCACACTCATTCATCGTTTATGAAAGAATTCAGTGGACAAGATATTTTTGCATATCAAATTTTAATATACTTTAAATTATCAATAATAAATTTAATACGAATTATTTTTTTCTGCCTTTTAAGTTTCAAATAGTCTTTAAATTTATAAAAAAAATTATTGTCTGCTATTTTAAGAAATATATATTTTAATATATATATATATATATATATATATATATATATATATATATATTCTATCTCAGTGTCACTATCAGTTCAATACCTATTTTGTTATATATTCTATCTCAATATATATATATATATATATATATATATATATATATATATATATATATATATATATATATATATATATATATATATATATATATATATATATATATATATATATATATATATATATATATATATATATATATATATATATTTATTGTATCTCAATGTGACTTTCATACACAATAACTATTTAGATCTTATGATTATTTAATACAATTGAATTTATTTGATAATTGGTCATAATTCATTTTATAACTAAATAGACTATTACAAATTTATAATTGTATCTAAATGCAAAATAATGTATTTTTCTTCTTATGGTGTGATATTGTAAAGTGATTTATTTACTAATTTCAAAAATTAATTATGGTAAAAAAAATTATGATAGTGTAATTTATTTGAATTAATGGTTAACAATCTAATTTGTTTATTTTAAAAAAAATGTTGTAATTTTTCTAAGTCTTATTATTGTTAGTAGTTCAAATTTAATATTTCTATAATGCATAGATTATTGTTGTACAAAAACCAAATTAATTATTTCTATAATTCTTTTTAAAAGTGGAGTATATTGAAAGAGTAATAGACGAAGTGTTTATTTTATAAGTTAAAATTTAAATCTTTTAATTGACATTTATATTTATTTTAAATTTAAATGTCAGTTCTTAATTATGTAATATTATTGGTTTGTTTTTCATTTTATTTTTCATTTATTAAATCTTGCTTGGAACACGTAATTTTTTTAGTATTAACAACTAAAGTTAATGATTGTCAAAGAAATTATAAAAATACTAAAAGCATTAAATTGATTTTGAAATTATAAATTAATAATAATATAATTACAATTTAAAACATAAAAATCAGGAATTTAATAACAATTTAAAACAAATATAATTTAAAATTAGTATTATGTTATATTAAATTTATATAATGTGAGTGTTTATTATTAATCAATAGTGTAATTGATTCTCTTAGCAAATATTGGTATTATTTAATTCTCCCAAATACTGGTATTTAAGTTTTTGTTTTTTATAAAATGATATATTACCTTTCTGAAGCAACGTTAGAGTCTCACAAATTTTATAATAAAAAATATATAATTTTTTTTTAATGTATAGATTTTAAATTTTGTAGGAGTTGAAGAAGCAGTTGAATGATTTATTAGAAAAGAGGTTTGTGAGACCAAGTGTTTCTCCTTAGGGTGCACCGGTGTTGTTAGTAAAGAAAAAGGATGGAAGTATGCGGTTATGTATTGATTATCGACAGTTGAACAAAGTGATAATTAAGAATAAGTATCCGCTTCCTAGAATTAATGATTTGATGGACCAATTGGTTGGAGCACGAGTTTTTAGCAAGATTGATTTAAGATCAGGTTATCACTAGATTCGTGTGAAGGAAGGAGATATTCAAAAGACGGCTTTTAGGACACGGTATGGACATTACGAATATTTAGTGATGCCATTCAGAGTTTCTAATGCGCCAGGTCTCTTTATGGAGTATATGAGTCGTATTTTTCATGAGCAGTTGGATCGTTTTGTGGTTGCGTTTATTGACGACATTCTGATTTATTCTAAGTCTCAAGAAGAGCATGAGGAACATTTAAGAATTGTGTTACAGATTTTGAGGGAGAAGCAATTGTATGCCAAGTCGTCGAAGTGTGAGTTTTGGTTGTCAGAAGTGAGCTTTCTTGGCCATGTTATTTCAGGTAATGGTATTAGTGTTAATCCATCTAAGATTGATGCGGTAATGCAATGGGAGACTCCTAGAACAGTTACGGAGATTCGAAGCTTCTTGGGCTTGGCAGGTTATTACCGGAGGTTTATTGAAGGGTTTTCGAAGTTGCCACTTTCGTTAACGCAGTTAACTTGTAAAGGAAAGGCTTTTATTTGGGATGTTGATTGTGAGAAGAGTTTTATGGAGTTAAGGAGAAGATTGACAACAACGTCAATCTTGATTTTGCCGAATTCTACAGAACCTTTTGTGGTATATTGTGATGCTTCTTTAACTGGTTTGGGTGGTGTTTTGATGCAAGATGGGAAGGTTGTGGCTTATGCTTCTAGGCAGTTAAGAGTGCACGAAAAGAATTACCCTACTCATGATTTGGAATTAGCGGCCGTGGTATTTGTGTTAAAAATTTGGAGGCATTATCTTTATGGTGCAAGGTTTGAAGTTTTTAGTGACCATCGGATAAGAAAAACGTCATATCTGGAAGAACATCAGATGGACACGACACAAAGTTGTTTGGTAGGTGCCAAGTAAGTTGGACTTCGACCACAAGGTAAGACCTGGATAAAACACGACCTTGGGAGAAATGCAAATGAGGATGAAACACTCATGTTATGCATATGTATGATATGTATATGTATATGAATAATGTTATGAGATATGATCAAATGCAAATGCAGATGTCGACGACAAGGCTCGACTCTTATGGTAAGATGACAAGACTGGAAAACTGATTCCTCAACCCGGAGATCACTGCCACTTGCTAAATTGTAATCAGGTTGATGGTCCTCGTAGGAAGGATGGAAAGTCGCTTGGAGATCTTTCAATTAAACTGCCCCAGATTAAATTTTCCATTACAGATGAACTGATAATTGCTTCAGCTTGTCTGATTCTGAAAATGACTGTTTTACTGTACCCTCAGAAGGTTGCCCCAGTCTGAGTCTTGAAAATCTCATGGATAAACCAGATCTGAGAAGACTTTGCCCCTGATAGGATCACTTGACCAAGTTTCTCGATTGTTTGAAAATTCCTTAGAGGAAAGCCAGTTTGCAAACAAAAGTATTCATACAAACATGGTAATGCAAAGTTCATGCAACTTTTGAAATCAAAATTATTTTTGAAAGATGAAAAATAAATGAGTCATCGGTTAGAACGCGGCGGTCCAGGACGCTCAAAGTTTAATACAGGTATACAGCCAAAATAAATTATTCACAAAGATCTTTAGGAGTCAGCTTACGCAACCTTGCTGTAGCATGCTTTCAAAATATCCTTGTTTCAATTGGGTCTTTTGAGGGTTGTAATGTGGCCTGGTTCACGGTTTATGAAACAAAGGATAAAGGATCAAAATTCGTTTGTTCCCACCCAATCTACGTGATAATCTTCAGTCCTACGCTCAGTTAACTCATATTATGCATTCAGGTTCCTATAGGTTAGGAATTGCACTGATGGTAGCAGAGATGGTTCAAAAGTCAAGGGACCTACGAAAAGGCAGTCACTGCTTCTTTACAACATATGGTTCTTTTGACATTAAGTATTTTCAGGGTAAGGATTTAAAGATCTCCTCTTTTTATTATCCCTAACTTTTGCCTGAACTGTTTTTTTTTGTGAAGATTACAGTCAGCGGGATGCCTCAGTTTTGCCTAAGTCTCCTTCATAGGTTTTGACTTAGTGGGATTTTTATATTTTATTTTGTTTTTTCCGAAAGAAAGAGACTGTCTATCTTAAATGATTACAGTGAACCATCATTGGCGTTTTGGCTTTAAAAAAGCATCTTCAACACTTGTTGTGTACGAAGGAAAATCGTGAGTGCGACCTTTATATGAAAGGCGTATTGTAGGAAAACACAACCAAGTTAACTGAGAGCTACCCATGCCCCGAGGTTAAAATTGCGGGTTTTTTTTGTAAAGAAAGAAACTCCAACTTCTAGGCTCGAAGGGGGTGACAAGGGGATAACTTCCTTATTTCTCCAGTGTTTGGGAGTTGAAACAATGCCTCACATCATCAACAAGGATTGATTGAAAGCATATTGACAGCAGTTATGGGTATAATATTTTCGTCATCCTCCTTCCAATCTTTGCATACCAAAAATTTGGACAAAAGTAAATATTTGAAAGATAAAGCATAAAGATGAAAATAATAGATAAAATGAATTAAATCAAAAGTTGCAATCCTCAGTTCATTAATATAAAAGTACAAACATAGTTCGAAAGCAAACAGCTAATAAAGTAAGGAAAATACAAACAGTGAGAAACAAAAGCCTAATGATTAAATCAATGAGCCATCCTCTAGGGTCAGCCCGAAGCTTCACTTTTGATGTGCTGGCAACGGATTTTTCTGGATATTTGGAGGATTATCTTCAAAATCAAGTATTCCATCCCTCATTAACTCACGCACTCTGGCTTTCAGTGCAAAACAATGCTCCAAGTCGTGGCCTAAAGCACCCTCATGAAAAGCGCACTGGAAATCAGCCCTGAATCCAGCTGGAAGAGGATTAGGAGGTGGTAAAGCCCTGGTAGTAATCAACACTTGAAGCATCTCGGTAAGCCTGGTCACGCCTGCTTTCAACTCATCAATCTCCATTCGGACCTCCGTATTATGTTCCTCTTGTTCTGACATCTGGCGTCTATAATTAGCTCTAGTCTGATATCTGTGTCGAGGAATCA